GAACACCCCTCGAAGAACGGGGTGCGGGGGTCGCCACGAGAGGTGCCTACAGCGACGATGCTCGCCTCAGCTGCAAGCAGTTCCTTCTCGAGGAGGGCAACAGTGAGCTCAGTGGGGGAGCGAGAGAGGAAGTGGTCCCTGACTGCGCGCAGAGAGTCAGGGAGGCGGGTGACGATGTGGTAGAGAGTGATCCAGAGCGGGGGGGGGTTGCTAGTGAGAAACTCGGCAGGCATAGCAGCGCGAAAGCGGGCCTCACTAGTCTTAAGGTGGGTGATGAGGTCTGCGACAGTGTGAAAGGAGGCTAGGTCGGGGAACAGGTAGGGGAGAGTGAGGCGGCCTAGCGTAGCAGAAGCGGGTGAGGAGTAACGGGCAACTACAGCGGTGTAGAGGTCCTTAGCAGTCTTGCACTGGCCGAAGTGCTCGCGCTCGTCTAGCGGCAGGGAGTTGCGAATAGCAAAGCGAGCGTGCGCATCACGAGTCTGCCACTGAGAGCGTAGAGTGCTGTCAGCAGACGTGGCAAGGGCAGTAGCATGGCCTAGGGCGTGGTCGTACAGCGAGATGTCTTCTTTGGCAGTGAGCTGTAGGAACAGGTGCAGGTCATCTAGCCAGGTTTCGAACTTCACCGGACGGCCCTCGGCATCGAAAGCTAGAACGGGAGGACTAGCCATAGTGACAGTAGTAGGAGTAGGAACTAGGCCGCTGGAAAGGTGTGCGTAGGGTCAACGGGGCCGGCGGGGCCGCTAGGTAAGGCGCGGGCGGGGTCGACTGTCCGTAGTGGCACACGAGCGGCAGTAGTAGGGAGCGTGGCAGCAGGAGCTGCAACGGCGCACTGGTGGCAGCTGCAGCGGCAGCAGTGTGCGCGGTAGGTAGAAAAAACAGTGGGAGCGAGCGCCTCGCGGGCGGCGGCTGCAGAAGCGCACGGGCGGCAGCGGCTGCGAGCGGTGCACGAGCGGCAGCGACGCACGGGCAGCAGCGGCGCATGGGCAGCGGCAGCGTAGGGGCAGCGGCGGCACACGGGCAGCGGCGGCGCACAGGCGGCAGCAGTGCACGTGCGGCGACGGCAGGAGGCGGCGGTGCGCAAGCAGCAGCGGAAGCAGCGCACGGGCGGCAGCTGCGTATGCGCACGTGCGGCAGTGGCAGCGGCGCACGGGCGGCTGCTGACGTGCGGCCTCTGCGACGGCGGGCTGCGGGCCTGCGGGGCGTGCGCGAGCAGGCGACGGGCGGCTGCAGCAGCGGGTGCGTCAGCGTGGCGCACAGGGCAGCGGCGGGCAGTGCGCGAGGCCACGAGGCGCACGGGCAGCAGCGCAAAGGCGCGCGGGCAGCGGGGAGGCAGTGCGACGGGCCGCGCGCGAAGAAAATAAGGCGCGCGCGGGCAGCTGGCGGGGCGCACGCGTGAAAACGGCCGCGCGCGAGCGGCTAGTACGGCGCGCGCGGTAAAAAAAAGGAAAGCCACGCGCGGGCGGCTAGCGAGCTGCGTGCGCGTGGTAGGTAGGTAAGGCGCGCTCTAGGACGCGCAGGCGCACGAGGCGCACAGTAGGTAGGTAGGTAGGTAGGTGGGCCCTAAGAACAGTCCTAGCGACGGACCTGCTCTGAAACCATGTCAGTGATAACGGACTGGAATGGTGAACTAGAAAGGATTGTGAGTACAAATATGAAACCCTAATGTTGTGACCCCCCTATAGGCTAACCCACTACAGCCTACACAAACACAACACATATAATGTTTGACATACGCTTGCGGCTCTTGGGTTCACTCCTTCTACTGCTGACCCGTCGCTGTTTCTACGCACCGACACCTCGCTGCCGCCGTTCTACATCCTCGTGTACGTCGACGACTTGGTCTTTGCCACTGCTGACACTGCGGCACTCGCCCACGTGAAGTCGGAGCTGCAGAAGAGACACACGTGCACAGACCTGGGTGAACTGACAAGCTATCTTGGCTTGCGGATCACTCGGGACAGAGCACGGCGCACCATCACCTTGACTCAGTCACACATGGTGCAGCAGATCCTTCAGCGCTTCCGCTTCACGTACTCCTCGCCTCAGTCCACTCCTCTGCCTACCGGTCACTCGCTCTCAGCTCTGCCTTCGGATGAGTCCGTAGAGCCGAGTGGCCCGTATCCAGAGCTTGTGGGCTGCCTCATGTACCTGATGACCTGCACTCGACCTGACCTTGCATACCCTCTTAGCATCCTTGCACGCTATGTCGCTCCTGGCCGTCACAGGAAGGAGCACATGGATGCCGCTAAGAGGGTGTTGCGCTACTTGTGCAGTACGTCGGGCATGGGGCTAGTGCTTGGAGGGCGAGACCGAGTTGTACTTACTGGACACTCAGACGCTTCTTGGGCGGACGACCAGGCTACTCAGCGGTCGTCTCAGGGTTACACCTTCAGCCTTGGCTCCGGCTCAGTTTCTTGGCGTTCTACACGCTCTTCTTCTGTTCTCAGCTCCAGTTGTGAGGCTGAGATCTACGCCACAGCCATGGCTGCCCAGGAGCTACGCTGGCTGACCTACCTGCTGACCGACTTGGGAGAGCGGCCTCGTTCTCCTCCAGTGCTGTACGTCGACAACAAGGCTGCCATTGCCTTGTGTGAGGAGCACAGACTGGAGCACAGAACGAAGCACATCGCCCTGCGGTACTTCCTTGCTCGAGAGCTGCAGCAGCGCGGTCAGCTTCGTCTGCGTTACGTGGCCACTGAGGCCAACACTGCTGATGTGTTCACCAAGGCGCTTCAGCCTTGTGACCATCAGCGCTTCTGTACTCTTCTAGGCCTTGTGCCTGCTGGACCTCACTTGCTTACTTCTTGACTCTGTTTGTACTGTGATCTCTATATATATACCTGCATGTTTACACTTGCTAGGTTGTGATCACTGTATCTCTTGCTATATTATCAAACTGCATGTGAACTGGTCTTGTGACCGCTTGCTTGTGCTCGGAATTTGTGTGGTATCCTTGAGGTCCACCCTGAGCCTGTTTTGCTTTGCTTTGCTTTGACTGGTCTTGTGACCCTCTGGTTGTCTCCCACTTCGCCTATGGGGGTGTGTCAAACATTGTATGTTTATATTGTGTAGGCTATAGTGGGTTTAGCCTTAGAGGGTACACAAACTTAGGGTTTCATACTTGTACCCACCTTCCTGCTAGTTCATTCATTCTTGTTCTATTCTAGATTGTGACAGACGCACCCTCCTGCAGCAACGCCTGCCGCACCCGGGCGGGACGACGGTAGACCCCCGCTTTCTTCGGGCTGTCGCCACGCCGCCTCTCCTCGCCGCCGTTTTTTCTGATGCAAATCACACATTGCGCCTGGCTGCTCGCACAACAGTCGTATTCCACGTGTTGCTACCCGAAATCTTCACGCACAGTGATGACGCGCCACTTGCTGAAGACCTCCATAAAATCTCGTGCGCAACGTGACGAAGTCGCCCGACGCCACTTGCCGCACGCATTAACTCCTAAATCTTCGTGCGCGGTTGACGACCACATGCAGATGTCAACTCGCACCACGTGTGCCTCCGACAACTTCGGACGTGCACTGACGGCGATCCTGCGACGTCAGCTGCCACACAAATTAATTCCGAAGTTAACGAAAACGCACGCAACTTACGCACGCATTAATTGCGACGACAGCAAAAGCTGTCCGCCACCCGGGGGGAGGGAGGCCACGGTCGATCTTGACCGTCGAGGGCAAGGATCCGTCGGTGCAGCAGGAGCGTCCGTTAAAACATGGCCGCTAGGAGCAACTTTCCGTTCTCCTGGCCGGCTACTGCGCTGCTCCTGTCACCACGGCATCCTTCCCTATCTCCCCCCCCCCCCCCAAGGGATAATACTCTCTAAAAAAATGGGGAAGCTATGAAAGTAGCTCTGATAGCAAGTATTATGAGTTTTACTAGACAAAGTGCGTGGAAGACTTTATAAAAAGGATGAGAATTACAGAATCACTGAATCGATTGAATGAACAAGAGAAGCATTTATAGGGCGAATACGTGCTAGGCGAGAACCTCGTGACGTGCGAGGGTTGGGAATGTCGCGATTGGTGCGGGGCGACTCGGAATTGGTTCGGTGCGAAAGTGTAGGCCGAGCCACACTGACGCGAAGTGCTCGGGCTGTCCTCGCTAGGAGCAGCCTCTACAGTAATGAATGTATATTCATTACATGACGGGTTCGGTTTTGAGAGTTTGCTT